ATGAAGGCTTAATTGCTTGAATTGGGACAATTCGACAAATGTGAGTTTTAAGCCCACTTGAGGTGGCAAAATCATGTTGCTTTCTAAGCCCACTTGAGGGTGGCAAATCCGCGTCTTAGCGTACTTGTGAGTAGCACTTTCAAACCATTTTCGAAAAACAAACATGAGATGTTTTGTTCCAATTCTTGCGATTGAGTCTATACTTGTATGTTGTGTGCATCATATAGTAAGCTAGCTAATAATCAAACAAGAACACATGTGTTTATAAAAACAACATATCATGTTAGTAGAGGCCAATCCTTTGATCGGGCGAGCGGGGGGTGCTCATTTCAGGACCTTCCCCTCTCGTACCCAAGTTCCCGAGCCGAGGCAACTTTGGTGATGACGGGCATGTGGCCTTAAGCACGAGTCAGGGTTTCCTAAATTTCTCAAAACAAAATATTTAGGTGGCAACTCCAAAATCTGGCAAAGTAGTCCATGTTTGGCACTTCTTGATTAAAATCGATTTTCCAAAACGATTTGCCGGATTTGGACTCTTTGGTGATTTATCAGTCTTACATTGCACTTTGTGAGATTAGATTCAGAACCGTGACAGGAGTCTGAATTGTATTAGCTAGAACTACAATTCGCGCCCTTGCACGTGGAGCGGAGTTTCGGGCGGTCTACAGTTGGCATGCCGATTTCCAATGGTATGACTGCATCCATGCCATAAGCCAAGGCAAATGGAGTTTCCCCGGTCGAGGGTCTTGGTGTAGTGCGGTATGCCCAGAGCACATTGGGGAGTTCCTCAGCCCACCTCTCTTCGACCTTCTCCAGTTGCTTCTTTAGCCTGTCCAAGATAGTCTTGTTCGAGGTTTCAGCTTGACCATTTGATTAAGGGTAGGCCGGTGTTGACTTGTAAAACGCAATCTTTAACTCTTCGTAAAATTTGCAGAAGAGTTTCCCATCGAACTGTGTGCCATTATCTGAAATGAGGGCCTTTGGGATGCTGAAGCGAGTGATGACATTCTGCCAGACAAACTTCTTTACATCTTTTTCCTTGATGGTAGCCAATGGCCGGCCTCAACCCACATGGTGAAGTAGTCAGTAGCAGCGATGAAAAATTTGCGGTTGCCCAGAGCGGTTGGAAGTGGTCCTATAATGTCCAGCCCCAAAGCGCAAATGGCCAAGGACTTGTCAGGGGGAGAAACTCTAGCCAGCTGGTGGATTTGGTGAGCAAATTTTTGTTATTTTTTGTATTTGCGAACATATTTCTGTGCATCGGCCTGCATGCATGACCACCAATAGCCTTGAGAGATGGCTCGGTACGCCAGCGATCTGTCCCCAATATGGCTGCCACACATGCCTTCATAAATTTTAAAGAGGAAAGCATCAACCTTGCTGGGGTGGACACATTTAAGGTACGGCCTGGTAAAGGACTTTTTGTACAAGGCCCTAGACGGAGAGAGTCAAAATCGCTCTGACTTGGCCGTTATCTTGTTGGCTTCCTTCTTTTCAGTGGACAGGACTCAGTTTCTTATGAAGGTGATGAGGAGATCTATCCAGGGTGGTCCCAAATCGGTGCAAAGCACTTCGGATGCCTCTGGTTCCTCGATGCTAGGTCTGGGCAAGAACTCAATTATCAACAGATTGGGAAAGGAGTATGTATGAACGCCAAGCCGGCCAGCTCGTCTGTCTTACTATTTTCTTCAAGACCTATCTGTTCCATCTTTATTGCAGCGAATTTCTTAATTTCAACGTGCACCAATGCTTGATACTTAGCCATCCTTTCATCCTTGGCCTCATACTCCCCCAAGAGTTGGTTGACCACCAATTTAGAGTCGCTGAATACCATAAGCTCTGATGCTTTCATCCGTAGATTGCTCTTCAGACCGACGAGGAGGGCTTCATACTCCACCTCATTGTTCGGTGTTGGGAATCCGAACGTGATGGCATGTTCGATGATTAGTCCGTCCGGTGAGGTTAATACCACCCCCAGCCCGGCTCCATGCCTATTGAAGGCTCCGTCAACAAAAAGCTTCTACATCTCTCCAATGAACAACTTCCAGCAGTCGGAGGGGTTTTGAGAGTTTCTCAAATCCAAGGCACTGGTTGGTTCTGTGCACAGCTTATCCGCATGCGCACTAGTTTGGTCGGTCGGTAAGTCGGCCCGCTCTTGCTCTGCTAGCCCGATGCTGTCTTGCCGTTCTATTGCTTGTTCCTCACCCTTTTTTTGTGTAGGCGAAACCGTGGGCTGTGCCAAATCCACACTAGCCAAATCAATAGGACAAATGGGGTGAGTGCCAGAGGCAAATTCCGCCATAAAGTCGGCAAGGGCTTGAGCTTTGATAGCTATGCATGGCTGGAACTTGATGTCGTATTGCCCTAACTCTACAGCCCACTTCAAATTTTTTCTTGTAAAATCTGCCTTCTCAAAGAGCACCTTAAGCGGGAATTCAGTTATCACTACTATCATGTGGGCGTGGAAATATTGCGCCAATTTTCTGGAGGCCATTATGAGGACTAGGGCCAATTTTTTAAGCGGCAGATATCTTGATTCGGCTGAGAGTAGTGTCTTGCTGACGTAAAGGATAGGGAGGTGCTGAATCCGCTCAGCTCGGATGAGGAACGTACTTACCGCATACTGAAAAACTGCCAAGTATGGATAGAGCTCTTCGCCTAGTCGTGGTGTGACCAAGATTGCGGTGGAAGAGAGATATGTCTTCAAGTCTACCAAAGCGCGGTCGTATTCTGTATCGCAGAAAAACTTGACTTTCAAAGTCTTAAAAAAGGGCCTGCAATGATCTAATGACAGCTAATAAATCTGTTCAGCGTGGCTACCATTCCGACAAGATGTTGCACGTCCTTTGTGGAATTTGGTCATTCCAGCTCTGGGATTGCCCTGATCTGTGGCCTCAATTCCTCGGTTGGTAACTAAAAAGCCCAAAAATTTTCTAGTTCCCACTCCAAAACACACTTGGATGCATTTAATCACAATTTGTGGTGTTTGAGGATGGCGAACATTTCAGCTAGGTCGGTGAGGTGCTAAGACTTGTCTTTGCTCTTCACCACCATGTCCTTAATGTAAGCCTCCATAGTGCGGCCTAACAGAGGGGCAAGCATTTTGGTCACCATTCTTTGAAAGGTCGCCCCCCTTAGGGCGTGGTGAAGGATGTGACCTCTCTGTCTGGGTCATACATGGCTATTTAGTGGCAGCCGTGGTATGCGTCTAGGAAGCTAAACCTTTGGTGACCAGTGGTAAGGTCTACCAGCTAGTCAATCCTTGGGAGTGAAAAGCTATCCTTTGGGCAGGCACGGTTAATCGTTTTGTAATCGACGCACACCCACCATTTTCCGTTCTTCTTCGGTACCACCACCGTGTTGGAGATCAATTTGGGGTATTGCACCTCTTCTATTGCCCTAGCTTCCGGCATGTTTTTGACCTCCTCTGCCACCACCTCGGCATGGTGTAAGGCTGAGTGCCGAGTTCTCTGAATAACCGGCCGTGCATTGGGAAAGACATCCAACTGGTGGCAAATGAAGCTAGGGTTGATGCTAGGCATGTCGTAAGGCGTCCACGCAAAGACTTCAATGTGGGAAACCAAGAAGTTGACATAGTCCATCCGCTCGGTACTGGACAATGATGAGCCCAAGAGAAAGAATTTGCTCGGATCGTTCTCATCAATCTTGAACTCCACCAAGTCTTCAACTGATTTCTCTTCTACTTTTCTTCCCACATCTTCCAAGACTTCCTTTCCTTCTGGCCCTTTTATTATTTGGACAAAGCCTTTGGCGGCCCGACTGCCATTTACTGCGATGAAGCATTGTTTTGCCATCATTTGGTCCCCCTAAACCTCTTTGATTTGCCCGGCTAGAGCGGGGAAGGACATGACTTGATGATAAGTCGACGCTATTGCTTGCATGGCGTGCAACCAACCCCTCTCCAAGATCAGGTTGTAGGTCGATGGGACCTTCAGCATGCAAAACTCCACTTGCTTCGTGACTGATCCAGCCTTGACCGGCAATATGATCTTCCCGATCAGCCATTTTGGTTGAGAGTTGAAGCCGACCAAATGAGACGTTGTGGAGGCCAAGTCTTTGTCCTCCAATTTCATTTGCTTGAATGCGTCGTAGTACATGATCTAGACCGAACTTCCCTAGTCGATCAAAATTTGCTTGATGTCCAAATCCTTAACATGAAGCGTTACTACCAAGGCATCGTTGTGTGGGGTTTGAATTTTCTCCCAGTCCTTGCTTGAAGAGGTCAAGATGTCTTTTATCTCGGTCTTTCCTTTCTTTACGGCGGGCTGAATAGAGAGCACTTTCCTCATGTGCTCGGCCCTCTTGATCATCCCTCTGAGCTCGCAAACTCACGTTAGCTCAATGATACCATGAATAATGTTGATGACTCCTTGGGGTGCCGCATCCAAGATGGCAAGGCCATTTGGTTCGGCATATCCTTGCGGAGCGGCCCTCATGCCTCTATCTATGTATTGATCCAAATGCGCAGCCGCAACCAGCTTTTCCAAGTGTTGTCTCAGTGGCATGCAGTCCTCTATTTGGTGCCCCCTTTCTTCATGGAAGGTGCAGCGGTACCTTGAGTTGAAGCCCCTCTGTGTATCTCCCAATTTTGCTGGCCAACAGACGCATGGTTCACCTCGAATTTTACTGAGGATGCGATAAATTGGGATCTTAAAGATTGTGCTAATGCCGGTTTGTGCCTTCAACTTTCTCTTGGCATCTTCCTCTTCCTTGCGAGGAGCGTTATCTCGGTCATTCCCACGGCCTTTGTTTCTATCGTTGTGGTTTGAACCATGATGTTGTTCTCTAGCTCAGTTATTAGGGCAGTTATCCTCCTGCCCCACCGAGTGAACCTTTCCAGCCACATGTCTGTCCACCGCAACTGAATTTGCCTTCTCGGTTGTGGTGGCAGTGGCGGCATCATCCTTAACTCGGATGTGTTCGTTGATCTGTTGCATTAATGATTCCATGGTTGTGGGTTGGTGCATCGTGAGCGAGTCTCACAGTCTATGTCCGACTGGCAAGCCTCGCTTGTATTGGGCGATCGCCAGATTAGTGGGGCAATCTAGAATCTCGTTGTCAGTCTCCCAATACTTGGCGTTGTACGCCTTTAAAGAACTACCCGATTCCATCTTGATACCCAAGAGGTGATCGACCTTTTTAGGTGTTCTAGTGTTAGTTTTGAACCTAGTGACAAAGGCCTCCACTAGCTGTTGCCACCCCTCGATACTCCCCTCCGAGAGCCTTTCGAACCATTTCAAGCCTAGTTCTCCCAAACTTGCTTGGAATATAAGACACATCAGGGTGTCGTTGCGCCAGTGGCCAGCCATTACTTGTTGGTAATGACTAACGTACATGTACGGATCCGTCTTGCCGTCGTATAGCGTGAACTTAGGTTGGTGGAATTCGGTAGGGAGTGGTGTGCTCTCAATCTCTAGAGACAGTGGGATCGCTGTAAGTCTTGCCAACTCTTTGTTCATCGGTGCTGGAGTCACCACTCTAGGCGGCCACATGGCCATTTCCTCACTGCGACGGATTCTGGGACTCGCTTTTGCAATGCCGGCACTCTTTGGGCCTCTCTACAGCATGCTCATTCCTTCAAGACGTCCCTTAGGTCCCTTAAACGGACAAAGTGAGAGTATCTCGACATTGTCGATGGACGTGAGGGGCGATAGTTGTTGTCTCGCATGGAGGATCTTTCTACCAGTGGGTTGGAATCACCAACGCTGTAACTCCTGGTGATGGAGAGTGATGGAGTGCCTCGCTGGTGCCGGTTGCCTGAGCAACAGGGTTGGGTACGCTCACTGTGGTTTCCCACTCCAGCCACACCCTTACCTTTGATCTGCCGTTTCAACGCCTCCATCTCAGCTGCCATCTTTCGTATAAGGGTGTCCTGGTCTCTAAGTTTTTGCTCCAGGTGTTGAGAGTGCAACTCTCCTCGTCGGCGACGTCCATCAGGACTTTATGAGAGGTCAGTGCTTCTCGCATGTTTGTCTCGCACATCTCTAGGTAGCCCTCTAGAGGAGGTCTCCAGGCCTGCCATAGATAGAATGGTGGAAGGGCCATCTCTCCTTCAGACCGACTCCGGTGTGATGCCATCGACGACGGATAGCGGTGTTTTGTCGATGTTTGCCATGGAAAACGGTTGAAAAAGGTTGGAGAACAAGGTTTGTCGGTCAATGACTTCCCACAGATGGCGCTAATTGTATGTGGAGGAAATATTTGTTGCTCTCTGTACTCCTTGAATCCAAGCCTCACGTAACATCGCTTAACTTGAGAACAGAAAAACGGTGAGCTGCCTGGCATTATGATGTCGGATAAACCCTCTGACGATCAAGTTAGCACACTTAGAGAAGAAAAGAGAAGGCAGAGCACTTTCTAGAGAGAAAGACTATTTCAAAAGTAGCTTACCTCTAACGGTTACATGTTCCTCCTTTTCATGGCTGGCCATGCACCCTCAGAGATTGTGGACGCACTACCTCTATTGTCCTTCTTTGGACAGGCGACTGTGCTCCCCTCTACATTTTTTACACATGTAGAGACCAAAACCCCCAAAACGTGTTTGTCGCACCCCCAAACAGTATTGACGGATACCAGGAATGGATTCCCTTTTTCTTATCATTGGCCCACGTGGAATATCAAACTGAGCTATTACTTGGTGAACCATAAACATTATGATGGATAGCTATTACTGAGCAAAACCAAACCAGTCCATCAGAACCGACCAAAAGCGGGGCATGTCGTTTGGCATCTCGGCCTCACACAGCGATCTCATGGGTCATCTCAGTTCCCACATCAGTCCGAATCGTCCATATCTCGGCCCAACGCATCTGTGCAGACCTAACCAAGTATCCAGTTTTGTGTGATCCTAACTCGGCTAAACACCTGCATGCCTCCATAATCCGGGCAACCCTCAGCCTGGCCCAACGTAATGGGCTGAAGCGCTGTGTTGGTGCGGTTCGGCTAGGCGCAGCGTCTTCGGCCCTCACATGGCCTAACACCATATTTTGTGCTCCCATATCTCGGCCCACTTGTTCGGCACAAATCTCCCTCTCACTGAACATAACAGAATAAATTAAAAACTAGAACAGTCCCCAAATCAAAGAACATGCCTTCAAATCACAAAAATGAAATATAGGGTCTCACATACATGCATATACACATATATAACTTACAAATCTACAAGAAAGCACACACATGCATGTATACATATAAATGTGTGCTTGTTTACATATTGGATTGTCGAATGATAATGATTACCTCTAAGGTTCTGGGAACTTATATAGCTTTTTACATGAAAATTAACATATGAAAGTTCACTTTTAGAGCTCAAATATAAATTACAAGTACATATATATATATATATATATATAGGTAAAGATTTATACCTTTTTGATGTGAGAGAATAGAGCACCGTAAAAAGAGAGAGAGAGAGAGAGAACCACCTAATTAAGGAAGAAACAAGGGATACAGGGAAAAAAAGAAGAAAAGAAGAAGAAGGTATATTTATGAAACATAACCCCCAAAATTACTACGTATTTATAAAAAATAGACCCCCAAAAAGATATTATCATATTTACCTCGTTGTCCATGAAATTTGGCATCGGTATTAGTTAGCATCAGAGCACACGATCTTGCTTTTTTAATATCATATTTTTATCAAAATTTTACTTCAGTCCGTTTACTTTAATCCTTTTGTTAGTTTTTGAAACACAATTATATGATTGGATCCAATTATAATTTAACTTGAAATCTAAGGAGTTGATTGGAACAACTGAAATATTAAAAAATTTAGTGAGAATAAATATGAAGTATAAAGGGAATTTTATCAGAAAGTCCTATATGGATGAATTGTGTTCTGTTTGGTCCCGCTGATTCTTTGATTGACTGGAAAGTCCTATTTAGGAGGGGATTGCCTACTGGTAAATCCTTTTTTAAATGTTGATGAGTGCTTAAGGGACGAATATACCTTCACGTATTTGGTGGGTTGTTCTATTTATATTGGGTACGTGTAATCCCAAGTTTTGTGGGGTGGGATTGTTGAAGATTCGTGTATGAAGTTTTCCAAGTGGGGTTTACCTTTTTGAGTTCATTTTGTTTTGTGTGGCAACCAAGAACTGCTGCAATTAACATCACCACCAGCGACTTCACACAAGTATGTACCGAATCTTGTATTATACGATTTTCCCCCATCATTCCCACAAATCACACACCAGTTCGGAAATCGTTTTCAATGTCGCTTGTGGGACGAGATGGGGAAACCCCATTCATTGCCCAATGGGATGATAGCAAAAACACACCAGTTCACAAATCGTTTTTCAATTGTATTCATATTGTACAAATTTCGTTTTGTACTGATGGATCATTTTCTTTTGTTTAACTCTGCGTGCTTGTTTAATTGTGCAGATGGACGCCTTCGTGATGCTGCTATGTTGTTACCAGTCTACAAATGTTGCATACAGTTTGAAACCATCACACACCTTTGCCGAATTTGTGGATTATGTTTGTTCGAAGTTCGACGGGCTCATACCAAGATCAATTCTGTTGTTCTACAAGATCTCGGGCTATAATAACTTCTCATTGCAGAACGATGTTGACATGCAGAATATGATTTGCCTTGCCCGTTTGTTCGGCTTGCAGTTAGTTAACGTGCTCATCGAAAAATAACACGTGGAAGGGAACAGTAATCTTGACAGTGATTCGGTGTAGACTCACACCATCACCAAACCTGTGGGAAGACTACTAAATGAGGTTGAAAAGGAAGACGAAATCAACCTACTACAATCATTTTGTCCACACAAAGAGAAAATCTTCCTTTTCGCTCTATAGGCTAATGGATTTACCTATATTGGATAGCACTTCGAAGGCAGTGCTTTAGAATTTCGCAATATCTTACGAAAATATGTCGTCAAATATGGGTTCCATATCAAGTTTGTTAAAAATGACTCTATCCGGGTAACGGCTGTTTGTGCTATGAACGAATCAAAGGGATGCACGTGGGCTGTACACGTAAGGAAATTGGAAGCCAACGAATTCTTCTACCTTCGCAAATGGAACAGTGAACAAAATTGCGGCGTCCCTATCCGTACATCCACACACCCACTTGTCGGTTTTGATCTTGTCGTAGACATTATAGCTGAATGTGTGCGGGGTAGGCCACTTAATCGTCCAACCAAAGTTATATTAGACTTGAAACAAGACTATGGCCTGGACATCACTTATTATGTGGCATGGCTAGGGGTCGAAAAAACAAGAGAAGAACTGTTTGGTGCTCACTCTATTTCGTTTGACCAGTTGCGTTGGTACAATAATGCAGCAACGGAACACAACCCCAGTACCTATATCAATATTGAATACGATGACCACACCCACCAATTCACACGCTACTTTATATCATTCAAAGCATGCATCAACGGGTTCACCCATTGACATCCACTGCTATTCCTTGACGCCATGTTCCTTTAAGGTTGCTACAAAGGGTTCTTACTTGCTGCGACTGTGAGACGGTAACCAAGGTCAGTTCATTCAACTTCTACAACGTCAAAGCAATATTCACACCCAACCAAATTTATCAAATGCATACTATCCATTATTGTCATTCACCCACACTGCCCATATTTGCACACCCTAACATGTTCACATACCACTAACAACCCCAAACTCTGTTCGGCTTTGCAGGTTTATTCCCCTTAGCTTATGCGATCGTGGACTCCGAGAACACCTCCAACTGGACTTGGTTTCTTTACCATCTCGCCCAGGTGGTGCATGGTGACAGACCCCCACATTCATATCTGACCAAAATCTCGGATTGGTTGAAGCAATGCCCACCGTATTCCCGAATGTACAACATGCTTTCTATCTCCAACATTTGCAACGGAATCTAAGGGACATGCTGCGTTACACGAACAGTATGCATCGGGCTAGTTTAGTAAGCAAATTACGACATTGTGCGTATGCGCCAACTGTTACTACATTCAATCATAAAGTTGAACAATTCCATAAATCAGGCCGAACAGTAGCATCGGAATTCCTAGCAAATGCACATCCTCATCATTGGACAAATGCATTTTTCCAGTACGTTCCACATGTGCTTATAGAAATTCACATGTACACAACATATTGACGTAATGGTCAATTTTTTTTCCTAACATGCGCAACCCATTTTCAGGGGGAGGCATTACGGTGAGATGTGTTCAAATGTTGTGGAATCATTCAACTCATGGGTTCGTGAAGCGCGGAACTTCCCAATCACTAAAATGGTTAACAGCATCAGAGCCAAATTAATGCGATAAATGGCAAAACGTAGAGTTGCATCCCAAACATGAACTGGCATAATATGTCCCAAAATGGAGTCCTGTCTTGAAAAAGCATTCAACGAGGGGAGGTCATGGAAAGTGAGCCAATCAAATGCTGACGTTTACAAGGTGCACTTTTTCCCGTCAGTCATGGTTGATATCGAACACCACACGTGTTCATTTTTCAAATGGCAGCTCAATGGGTTTCCATGCGCGCATGCAAC